GCGAAGACGGGCCACGAGAAGGGGCAGCTGTACCTCACCACCCACCGGGTGGTCTGGCTCGAGGCCGTCTCCTCGACGTCGCTGCTCATGTTTCGGGGCAAGCGCAGGGCCATCGCCCTGCCCCACGCCCACGTCCGCGCCGTCGAGTCCCACGTACACGCCACCATCCCCGCCCTACCCACCGCACATGTTTCTCACTAGACACGACACGACACGACACGCACACACGACACGACACGCACAGTCCAAGGGTGGTGCGGTGCGCTCGGCCAAGCTGAAGGTGGACCTGGTGTCGCCCGGTGGCCAGTCGCTGGTGGTGGCCGTGCACAGCCACGGCGCCGCCGACGCCCTGTGCCACCGGTGGCGCGACGCCCTGGCCCAGCGGGCTTGGGTCCCTCCTCCCGCCGCACCCTCCCCCTCTTCCTCCTCCTCTTCTTCCACCTCCTCCACCTCCTCTTCATCCAGCTCTGCTTCTACACCGGCGCGCCCGGTCAACTTCACCACCTCCTCGGCCGGCGTGTGTACGTTGTGTGTGTGTGCGTGTCGTGTCGTGTCGTGTCGTGTCGTGTCGTGTCGTGTCGTGTCGTGTCGTGTCGTGTCGTGTCGTGTCGTGTCGTGTCGTGTGTGCGTCGTGCTCACGCGGGTGTTGGCCGATGGTCTGCAGCGGGCCTGATTCGGACGAGGGACGAGCAGGCGCGAGCGACGGATGCGGCGCTGGCTGAGGCTTTCACCGACCTCAACGCCCTCATGGGCAAAGCCAAAGACCTGGTGGGGCTGGCGGAGAGGTTCAGGGTCGAGGCGAGCAGGCAGCACGAGGGCGGGGACGGCGTGACCGAGGAGGAGTCGAACGCGTTCAACAGCTACCTCCTCTCGCTTGGTATCGCGACGCCCGTCACGAAGCAGTCAGCCGGCGCCCTCTTCCACAGCGAGCTCGCCCGGCAGCTGTGCGATTTCCTGGCCAAGCCCCTCCAGCACGCCGGCGGCAACATGTCCCTGGCCGACGTCTACTGTCTCTTCAATCGTGCCCGAGGGACAGGTCCGCACGACACACGACACACGACACACGACACACGACACACGACACACGACACACGACACACGACACACGACACACGACACGCATGGCACACGTATCTCACATCGCTCTCTTGTTGGGTGGGGCGCGCAGAGCTGATATCGCCGGAGGATTTGTACCGGGCGTGCGTGCTTTTGGAGACGCTGGGCCTCCCGCTGCGGCTGCGCAAGTTCGATTCCGGCGTGATGGTCATCCAGCCCGGTACAACCATGCGCCCCCCCCCCGGCTCGCCCCACCGACCGGGCCTGACTTGGCTTTCTCTCGGTTGTCGTCGTGGTCGTGGTTGGCTAAGAAGGGGGACACCACGGTCGATAAATTGTTGTGTCGCGCCACAGCGGGACAGACAGACGCGGAGATCGCGGGCAAGGTGGAGGAGGCCGTGCGCGCCTCTGGACCCATGACGGCCGTCGATCTCGCCGCCCTCTGGCGCATCTCCCTTCCCCTCGCCAAGGAACACCTCACGGTTTGCACTTCACCCCCCCCCCAAACCCCGGTACTCATGTGGGCGTCCGCACTCACTCCTCCCTCGTTGCGTGTGCGTGTGCGGCGTGTGCGGTGGTGCGCGTCCGCGTATGTGCACACAGACGGCGGAGCGAGCCGAGCTTCTGTGCCGCGACGAGTCGTTCGAGGGGCTGGTGTTCTACCCCAACATCTTCGCGTGCTAGCGAGCTTCATTGTTTATTATTTGTTGGTTAGTTACAAATTTGTAGAGATGATGGTGAAGTACTCGTACGAGCCGCCGCCGCAGCAGTGGTGGTGGTTCAGTAGTTCTCGTGGCTGGCCTGGGGCAGGGGCTCGGACGGGTCGTGCAGGATGCCCACGTGCAGGATGCGGTCGCCGGTCGACGCCACCGGGTTGGAGCTGCGGCCGATCACGATACCGTCCTCCTCCGAGAAGTACTCCTCCACAAAGTTGCCTGTCATCGACGCACCCGCGTCAGGACTGTGCGTGTGTGCGCGTGCGGCGTGTGCGGTATGCGAGGAATGTACCGAAGATGTTACGCATGCGGGCGACGAGATCGCCCTTCTTGATGAGGGTGTTGACGCCCGGATAGACCTCGAGGATGCCCCCGTTGGTCGTGTAGGTCCAGTACCCGTGCTTGCACACCACCGCCGACGTCGGCGCATCGTCCTCCTTCTGCACTCGTCGTGTGTCGTCGTCAGTCGTCAGTCGACTGCCTCATCACCATCATCATCATCACGACCTCACCACACGCACCTCTTCCAGGGTCCTCGAGTACATGTTGAAGTGGTCGAGCACGTTGAGAATGCCCGCCGACGTCCATTGGATGAATTGATTCTGGACACACACACACGACACACGAGACCAGGTGAGCTTTTCCGCTGACCGCGACCACTTGCTGACAGGCATGACGGGGGGGGTGTACCTGCAGGAGCTGCGGGTTGCCGATCTCGACGGTGATGGCCTTGATGCCGAGCTTGGTGGCGGCGCCGCGCAGGGTGCCGCCGTGGCCGGCGTCGTGGAGGATGATCTGGGGCTTGAGCAGCGTGGCCAGCGCGTTGACGTCGGAATCGTTCAGGTCCGCGCGCACATAGTACGAGTTGATACGCCCAAACGACGCCGTGTGCAAGTCTGTCGAAATATTGGTGTCGTGTGCGCTGGTGAGTGTTCGGCCCTCGAATCCACACCACACACCACACACCACACACCACACACCACACACCACAGAGCGTAGCGAGGATGCTCGGAAGGCAGTGCGTACCGATGAGATAGTTAAAGTTACCCTTCACGATCCTTTGCATCACGGCGTTACAGAACACCTCCGACGACTAGCGCGCGTCCAAGAGAGGCAAAGGTGAGTGAAGTCGGGGGATTGCGTGCGTGCGTGCGTGCGTGCGTGCGTGCGTGCGTGCGTGCGTGCGTGCGTGCGTGCGTGCGTGCGTGCGTGCGTGCGTGCGATGTCATCACGTACGAGGCCGCGCTCCTTGCCAGGGAAATGGCGGTTGAGGTCGACGCCGTCGCTCCAGCCACGCTGCATACGGAGGTAGCCCGCGATGTTCACGCAGGGCACGCCGACCACCGCCCCCTTGAGCTTGCGCACGTTGATGGTGTTGATGATCTTATGGATGCACGGCACTCCGTTGAGCTCATTGCCATGCACCGCCGCCGTGAGACCGAGCGTTGGGCCGTCCTGTCATTGAAGCAAAGCAACGCAAAGCACGACACGCGCGGTTGGACGACACGCCGCAAGCGAAAGGGGGAGTAGAAGGGGAGCAGAAGGGGGAGGTCGGGAGGGGGTTAAGTACCTCGACACCGCGGGCGACCAGCACGGGCACGCGAATCCATTCGCCGAGCGGGCTGCGCACCATGTTGATCCACGCCGTGCGCACCTCGCCCTTGGGGAAGTCGTCAACGCGGAGCGCGTCTGGTACGCAAAGCGACGGGATTGAGACCACATTGCATCTGCTTCGTTTGCGTCTCGCGCGTGCGGCGTGTGCGTGTGCGTGCGTGTGCGGTGGGGCCGTCTGTGTGCGACGGTGTGTACCGGCCACGATGGGAGGAGGGACTTCGGCTTCGAAGCGCGTGCGTAGCCTCGGGGGCTTGTACACCTGGGCCGGACCCGTGTGTTCGAACAACACGGAGCCGCTCCGCTGCAGACGCGCTCTGAACCACGCGAGCGCCAATCAGCCAACGCGCCGCACACGCACACGCCGCACATGCGAAGCCCTTGGAGAGTGGGCAACTGCGCGTACCCCAGGCTGTGGTGTGGTTTGGAGGACTTGAGCGGGGACGCTTTCAGGGGCGAAGTGGCCGGCACGGGCGCTTCTTCTTCGTCATCGGCGTGCCAGACCTATGCGTGCGTGCGTGCGTGCGTGCGTGTTACTGGCAGTGCACACATGCCAGGGCGAGGTGCAAGGAAGGGCTGGCACCGACCTTCCACACGGCAGAGCTGTCGTACGAGGCTCCCGAGTCAAACTCGATGTCGATGTTCGTCCGCGGGGTGAGGGTAATTACCACCAGCTTGCCAGCAGCCCTGAAGCGAGAGCCGGCCACCACCAAATCTCAATTCACGTTACGCACACACACACACACACACACAATGGAGCACATAGCGAACGCGGTCTTACCCGGGGTGAGCCTCGAACTGCAGCTGGATGCTGCGGTCCTCGATGGAGCAGACCTCGAAGGTCTCGCCCGCCTTGGCCGTGAACCGGTCGCCGCCGGCCGCGTCGGAGAGGTCGGCCGAGGTGATGTCGACGGTGCCGTTGTACGAGTAGACGAGCGTGGTGCCCTTGGAGGTGATGGTGTGGTGGATGGGCACGCCCTCGATCGCCTCGAGCGCCTTGACGCTGGCCTTGACCTGCTGGCGCTCGAATATGACGTTCATGTCGACCACCTTCTGATGGCTTGTCACGAGGCACTCGGTGTGCCACTCGCCCTTGAACTTGTGGGGCGTGAAGGGCGGGAAGGTTTCCACCTTGGCCGCGAAGTTGTGCTTCAGCCGCACATCCTCTTCACCCTCCACGCTGCGTGCCGTGTTCGGTTAGGCTCGCGCGTTCTGCGTGTGCGTGTGCGGTGGTGCGTGTGTCGTACCGAAGCAGAATGCGGTCGTAGGAATGGAAGAGGGAGAAGGTGGTGGAGCCCACTACTTCGGTCAGCGACACACGCCACATAAAGGGTGTGACGGTGAAGTCGCAACCGGGCGGGACCTTATAAAAAATAAATAGATGAAGATGGGTGACTACCGCACAAGAAGAAAGGGGACTGGCAGGTACCACAGCGAGCTCGACGGACTGGCCAAGGCCGTTCTTCCACGCCATGCTCTTGTAGTCCGAGAACACTCGACAACTCACCCGCCTCTGGTCGTGGTGCTGATCTTCCACTTTCAACTCTTCCATGTGCGACGA